GCTTGTGGACCTTGGTGAAGGCGTTGATGAAGGTGTCGGCAAAGTTGTCAAAGACGCCGCCGCTGCCCTGGTCGGATGCCACGCTTGTTCTACCGGCGCGCGACCGCATGGTGGCGTTCCAGTCGGGGGACTCGAGGAAGGTGTGCAGGATGGGGGCGCGGCGCAGGATGGGATGGAGGGTAATGCGCGTCAGGAAGCGCTGCAGCGAGTATGCGCGGCGGTTGGTGAAGTCGGGTCCGAATCGGTCGCCGCGAACGTATTCCATGCGCTGCTTGTCGGGCAGCGGCGGCACGGCGCAGGCGGGGTAGTCCTTGGACAGGGTCTTGGAGAGGAAGAGAAAGTCGGTGAAGCGGCGGCGGGATGTGAAGGTCGGCTTTTGGAAAGATGGGAACGTAGACTGTCGGAGCGAGAGAGCGGGAGCGCATGTGTTAGTCAAGGTGGTCTGCTCCTTCTCTCGTCTTCTCTTTCTCCTCTCCTCTCTTCCCTTCTCTCGTCTGGACCCTCCTCTCTCTGGTCTCAGCTCTCTGGCTTCAGGCACGTACTCACATTAGTAGTAATCAGATAGGACACAAAGGCGTCCTTGGTGCCGTCGCTCTCCTTGCGCGGCTCCGAGACGGTGCACTCCAGAATGTCGCCCGAAAGACCCGGGTCCTGCATCTGCAGATCTTCGCCGTGGTGTTGGTCCTCGCTGCTGGGCGGCTCGGCCTCGATGTCAATGTTCGGCAGCGAGCTGCTCGAGTGGGCGGCACCATGGTTGGTCTCGATCTGCCACGAGATATTGGAGAAGTTGTCCTGGTCAATGACCGCCATCGTGGGCGATGAATATGAGAACGGGAACAGGAGGCGGTTATGTCTTCGGGCCTATGCCTATGCCTATCTATTCCTATGCCCGTGTCTGTGTCCGTGTCTGTGTCGGTGCCCGTAGTGTAGGTTCTTCCGCCGTGTAGAGCTCGGGTTGTGTGGTCGTATCCTCATGAAACGATAGTCGGGCTGTTATTCTGTTTGGATAGAGAATTGGATAGAGAATCAGAAGGTCTGCTAGCTATTCATGGAGTTCTGTATGGAGTAAGCAATGGTCTAAGTTTGAGTTGTTCAGTTGCTACATAGTGGTAGACTTTAGTGGGGAAGCACCTCTGACGCACTCAGCCTCCATGAGCTCAACGGTACCTAATTAAGATAAGGTAGGCGCAGGCGGACATTATTTAGGTGAAGGGAACCTGCCTTACGTCACGCCTCAATATAGTTATATTATGCAGTAGGCAGTGTATGCAGTAATCGGAAATAAGGAACTTCTTGTCTAGGTACCTAGGTAATGCCAAACACTGAACAATTTTTCAAGATCGAATGAATGACTGCGTTAAAGTCTAAGGCTTAGTGAATCACGGCCCAGGTACTTTATTAGTTGGCTCTTTATCACATTGTTTCTCTGTTGAAGGGTTGATATAGACTGGAGCACGGAGTAGACCAGAGTGATAGTTCGGGTGCTGGATCAGGAACAAAGTGATAAAGAATTCCGGTCAACTCTTGATTAGGTAGGTTTTTAAAGAGACCAAAAGAAAGGAAAGAAGAGGACATCTAGCCGATAACTACACATAGTTTTACATTAGATCCTCCCACGGCCGTATCATTTGCTTAATGGTCCTGTCCTTCTAGCGTGAAACTCATCTCATCACGTTTTTCGTTGATCACCCTTCCATATTCTAATAACAGCCTGAACAAATACACTTCCATGTCTTCTTTCCTCATGGCCTTCTCGGCCCATTTGCGGCCTTGCTGGGCAATCCATTTCGCGTCCTCGAGCCGTGGCGGCGTGATCTGCTTGCGTCCATTGAGTGTGCCGCGACCGTCCAAGCCGATGAAATACGCCATGGTGCTGTGCAAGGCGTGATATCTGGTATCGATGGGGATGAAATGCACCCAAGGCATGAGCCGCTCCGTGAACCACTGCTGGAATATGGAGGACAGAACAGGCACGCTGTTCGACCGCAAGACCTGCATCAGGTTCGGTGGCGGCCCGTCGCTGCTGTCGAGCAACATCACGTAACGGCTATCCACCTCGGTGGCGGGCGGCTCCAACCCGAACTCGTCCCGTATGAACTCACAATGGACACTTTGGCAGCCTTCAGGTGGGCCCGTTAATGAGATCCGCAAAGGCAGAATACTGTTGCCCTCCGTAGTAGGCACAGATTCGTACTGAAACCTACTATTCTGGCCTGTTCCAATGCCCAGTAGCATGGAAGTTCGATCCGTGGCCGTAGCGTTCTGGATGAGGTGAACTAGGCGCAGTCGATGGCTGCCATGAAGAGATTCGTGGGTTAGTCTCGGTATGTCTTGGACGGTCCCTTGCCACAGAACAAGGTCCTGCTTTTGATTGAAGGTAGTGCTGTCGTATTCACTCCTTAATTCATCAGTTGGAAATGGAATCAGAATGTCGTTGAAGCCCGCAGTCTTAGACCTACTGAATAGAGGTAGTAACGATTGATGGAGCTCATGCTGATGGGGGAGCGTGTGAAACTCGTGTAGGTTGAAGATGTCAGGCTGGTGGCATGGAGTAAGTGCTGTCTGCCAGTCTTCGAGAAACTGTTCTTTACTGTGTGGTGAGACACATGAGGCGCAGAAATCCCTAACATCCCAATTACTACCGCTACGACTTGGGGATCCGGGAGGACAAGTGAGAGCCTGGAGTTGCCGAAACTTGTGCGCCGCGATAAAAGGCTTTACCGGATTTTCTGGGTAGGCGCGCCTGTCGGTTTTGGCGTTTCCGCCAGTGAGAAAATCGTCACGTTTACCTCGGCGACCGGAGATCAGTTGAAAACCGCGCTGCATGGCTATCATCTGTAATTTATGTATCTCGTTCCAAGGAACCATGACTCTAGGTCGTTCTTGCATATTAATGGCGATTTCCATGTCTGGAAGGTATTTCTCGAAAGAAGATATCAGGGCCGCGATGTCCACAAGTCTTTGCTGTTGTGTGATACCAGCCCCGCTACTATGAATGGCTTGACCGTCAACGATGCTGATGATGCCGATATTAGGCTGGCTCTTGAGAAATTCGAGGCCTTTTCGAATATCTTGCGGCTGTAAGCCCCAGAACGGTAATATATCATTCTCTATCTGATCAAATTTGTCGATGACGACCGATGTCCTCTCTCGTGCAAATTCGAACCATTTGTCGAAATTTTGTGGAGGTTTACGCCCATGATGTCGCTCTTCATATTCTTTCACGGCTGATTTCAGCCTCGTACTAACTGTGGCATGCCGCAGCCATCGGTCCGCTTCTACCCTGCTCTTGTAGACAAGATCGTCGACCGGGTGGTGGATAAATAATTTTGGTGTCAGAGAAATGTAGAGGATGGTAGACACTATCACACAGACGAGTAGTAACAGGAAAAACACACGCCGTATAAAAATGACGGAACGCATGTTGTTAGTGTACAGAAAAATAGTAAAACCGAGTGAAATTGCTGCTAGCGCAAACAGTGGCTGCGCTGCCGATGTCTGCTGGTACGTGCCGACCAGCAGCGTGTTACCAACGTTGGTTAGGAAGCCCGACGCAAATGTAGCAATGGTTATAGGCTCGAGGGGTGATGAATTGCATAAGAGCATCGATGCAGATATCACCAGAGTCGCTATAACTACCCCAGTGCTCAAGGTATCGAAAATGTATAGGGGGTTGACGCCCTTGAGAGAAGGGTGCCCAATTATATCGCCCCGTCGTAAAAAAGCTTTTCCTAGCAAAGGAATGCATGATGTAAATGCTGTGGCTAAAAGAATACCACCAAGAGTTCGCAGTCGACTCCTTGTTGTTCGCGCCCAAGAGAGTACTCTCCACGAAAGAATAAGGATAGTGGCATCCACAAAAAGACCAGCCCATTGGATAAACAGCACAAACGTGCCCCGATCTGCTAAAGAAGAACAAAAATAGGTAGACCGCTGTACCGAGTTGTTGGCCAAATATGATCCATAGCTGAGGAGAGCCGTTCCGAGTAGTAGCACCAGGGGTGAGCTAGTGAGCCAGACTTTCAGATCATCTAGCAAGCTCCCCCACATGTCTTCAGGTTCATCTGAGTCTACAGGCGGTGGACGATGCGTGAGCATCCTGTAAGCTGCCAGGAGCAGCGGTAAAAATGCCTGTCCGACGACATTAGTCGAGAGCTTGCTAACGTGTGGCACTTTACACACTTCAATACCAGAAGTAGAGCATTGGAAATCACGCAAACCTCTATAAGAAAGCTCCAGTCTAATAATGATAAGAATAATGATACAAGGCACGTAGAACCGGCGTGGTCTCGGTGGTAATGACGAGGATGCTGCTTTTAAGACGGCATCGGAATCTATCAAGTAAATGAGTTATTACTGCCTGGGTAGAAGTATGTTTGAGTTAAAGTACCAAATCTTCCGTCGGCGCCCGGGAGCCATTTCGAAAAGGAGCTTACGGCAAAAGCCGACAACCCGGACACCACTAACAGTAAAAATGCTGAGAGGTGTGGTTCATCTGAGCCTTTCGGTCAGCAGGTAAGCCCTGTTCTCACATCAAAAATACTGACTGATTAGGGAATGCCGTTGCAATGAGTACAATAGCCATGTAAACGAGGCCACAAACCTTGTTGTCACTGATCGTCAATTACCGAGACTATCTGAAGTAGGGGATGAAAACTCACCAAACACCAGTTAACTGTGCGCCACTATCAGGGGCCATTGGAGCAGCATTGGCACCCGCGATCGCGCCAACATCAACGTTACGGTACGTGAGTAAGTGTATGTATTGAAATCATTTGGTGAGCTGTCTGCAATAGACCGGCAGAGTGTTATTGGCAGGAATCGGGATACCAAGTCAGAAGACAATAGACGTAAGATCAGCCCTGCAAATAATTAGGTGGCAGCAGATGATAGCTACAGTGCATTTTTGCACTATGATACGGCGCTACTGTTAGAAGGGAGCACCTGCAAAGGCACCATGATCACATGACAGCCGCCGAATGTTCAGCTTTAATCTGATTGGGCGAATGGTCTAGGGGTATGATACTCCCTTCGCATCTGAGATCTTCAGAATTACGTGATTGGGAGGGGTCCGGGGTTCAATTCCCCGTTCGTCCATTGGCGATGTTAAGTTCGACTTCGATTTTTTTTCCACCTTCGCATACCCATCACCTTTCTCGAAATATCCTTGATTGGTCGTTCTTAGGTCGACAGGCCACTGTATCGCCATCTGAATGACCGCCGCAACTCTAGAGTACGTCGTCAGTATTCTAGATCGTATAGGTGACAGTGCCGCTCCGTTACATGTGTGCATCAGAATCACGTAACCTACCCAGGTAACCTATCAAGTTTCAACAGCACATTGTCGTATTTCGGATCTTGAGTTTATCTGCAGGAAAGTAAAAAGTGCTGAGATATTTGATAGTAGTACCCAAGTTCATGGGTGGCATTATCCGCACATAGTAGTAATCATACACATGTTCGCTTCCATGCAGCGACAGATTTCGGCTCACTTTATTGGCCAGCTCAGTGCAAAATCAAATAGGAAACCAAGATCAGCTCTCACGAACCTGGATGGCTAGGTACCCGGATGGCCAATCCGGATGGACACTCATGAACGCAGTATTCCAGTTATCTTAAAATAAGACCGTATAATCCCGCCGCAGCTGTGCATATGTAGGGCTTGATAGGTAAGGCTCTTCTTCCCTTATATAATACTGCATTGTCCCTCAATTGCTCAGTATGATACTTAGTCCCTCATAATACCAATACTGCCGCCGCTGGTTTGTATCCATTGATCCGACTTTGTTATACTATCGCATCACAAAGTTCCGCATTGCACCACACTGCATCTCACCGACTTTACTGAAGAATATATGAACAGGCGTGTCGGCATATCGGGGGCTTTAAGATCTCGTGAAATAACGAGGTCACAGAAAGATGCGGGCTAGACAGTAGACAAGGCAAGATTGTTACTAACCCTCTGGGCTATACCACTTCGGCATTCCGGCGAACAACGAACAGTTCCTCGATGATGGCATACGAAGGCCATTTTAAACGAAAACTCGCTGCTCATTCCAGCTCTCCATCATGCGACTAACGGTGTTACCAGAGACACTTAGTAGGGGAAGGACACCCTCGACTCTACTGTGATTCCATGGCTAGATCTTAAGCACAACGACTATCGGAGATCGTATTCTTCCTGCATCTCAGTCGTCCGCGCTTGATTGCTTTACCACGGCCAATGGCTCATGTGGTTGCCTGTGGAATGGAGCCTCGATATTGACGTTCGTTTTACAGTGAACAAACAGTCGCTCAGTCAAATAGGTAGCAGCCACGCTCAGATCCAAGAGGCTCTAGAACAGCAAGTCCAGCTTCACATGAGCACCTAGCTAAGAGACTGCGACACATCTCTGCTATCCAACGACGAACATCATCGAAAACTCCACATGTGTCTGATGGTTTGCCAAAAAAGAAATATTGCTCAGAACAGGTGGCACAATCCGTGGTAACCCCTTACTCAAGGATATATTTCAAAAGACACAGGACCCAGGGGCGGCGGCGGCTCAGAGCTAAATGCCAGGTCAGGGGCCTTGGACAAGGCATCGTGGACCACGAAGAAATGACGAGGAATCGCTCTCAAGGCCGCACCATATACCTTTTGGAATGGAATTCGCCAGATAAAGCTTCTATCCTCGGAGCATATAACAGACAATCAGGGGTCGGGTCTGAGCAGCTACAATCCATCACAAGATAGCCTAGCCAACGGCGACGTCATTTGTCATTCGAAAAGTATTCGATCTTTCGCTCGACATTTTGGCTAGTGTCATCGTCACCAATTCAAGAAACCGCCTTCTCAGGATCTCAGTTGAAAGGGGATATTGACGTCAATTCAACAACTTCGGCGGCAAGGACTGGATACTTCGCCAAACTAATTCGATTGGTGAGAAGAGGATGTAAAGTGGGTTACTCCATAAAGGCACAAGAACCAACTGATTGGCAGAATCGCTTGATAAATGCGATGCTCAAATGCCGGCTCGATATCCGGGGCATCTTGGGGAGGACATCCACGTGGCTGTGTCTATCCAGTGACGAGGCTGCTCATGGATTGCTGACTGTCTCATGTCAGCTCTCCCTCCCTCGGCGCTTGGCGAGGAAGCCCTATGCCTTTTCCGTCCTCGCCGAATGCCCTTCGAAGGATCGCCCAGGGCGTCTAGAAGCATGCCCAAGCCTATCCCTTTCGGAACCGTTTGATCAGGGGAGCTACTACAGCAATTTAGGCCTCGCTTACAAGATGATAGGGTCTCTGACGCGATTAGCATCGAGCATGTCGAACAGGTACGGCAGTCTGCGAATCACACCACATGACTACCATACCCACTGCATGGCGATTTTATCAACATGTCGAATTGAAGGAAGATGACTAAGGTGCTAATGAGGCCATTGACTGGCCAGACGATGGCGAAGCCTCTTATTCTAGCAATGTACCCGGACTACCCGCGACTCTACGACACTAAGAAGTGTAAACTAGTTGACTACACTACGATCTACGGACGGTTTGCAATCGCCACCAGTGGATCTATCCGTGCAACTACACTAAACGGCAAGACTTTGGGGAACCGCCATGGAAGACATGGTAGCAGCTATTGACCTAGGCATTGAAGCCGTGGCTACGTGCGCCGCACATTCTCGAGCAAGTCTTGTGCACGAGCCCATTGATGGCAATTGTGTGAAAACGAGAACAACCATCTTACACTAGAGTATGCGATAACTGACCTAGCAGGGTACGAATTTCACCGCCTAGATCAATGTTTTCGTGAGGCATGCTGGCAAACCTCGCCTCCGCATCTTTCATTGCGAACGAGCGAACTACACTACACTACACTAGCAATCCTCCTGTGACCCTTAAAAAGTATTCAGTCATAACGAAAAACAAACAATTAGTGTACGACTTACTAGATAATTAGTGCAAAAGAAATCTCACCGGCATCCCCACGATCATCGCCCCACCGTATCCTTACCCATTTAAATTATGGTTATGCGTATGGAAACACGACCGCGGTTGAGGCAAAAGGGGCGTCAGGGTACCATGAAGCTAAGTGTATAATTTACAAGCGACGCCAAGATTGGTTCTTGATGGTACTACCTTCGCCTATACTTGATGCAACTCATTCAACAATGTGCCATTCCGCCTGTAACATATCAGTGCACTTCAGGCAGTAAATCATAGGCATCTGCCCATGTTCGCCTACAATGTACGCTAGGCCCGGTATGTATGCTGCATCGGATACCTATTTGGGTTGGTAACTGACACCACGAGCAGTAGCCAGGGCGCAGTGCCATCTCCAGCCACTAAAGTTAGTGCAATGTTGTCAAAAATAGAGGGATCGTCTTACTGCGTTAAAACATGGCACTAATCCCGCTTCAGATCGCCTTGGCCGATTTTTTCACGTCGCCATTTCGACTTTAATTACGGAGTACGAAGTATACACTGCTGTATCTAGCCGATATACGCTACGTAGTTAATGTCAACCATGCCACTACTGCTTTTGACAAATATCGAGATCATGAGAAATATTCAAGAGGATAGAGCCGCACGATAATAGCAAGTGACAAGAACCGTCGAGCTTTGGAAAGATATCGGAACGAGCGCGTAACTCCGAAGCCGCAAAAGATCTATATTGCACTGCTAATGCGTAAGGGGGCAACATTCCTTCGATTGGATCTTACTATCTTATGTCAGCCACCGGTACCGTAGCGTAGTAGCGTAGTAGTGCAGTGCAGCCACTCCGGCTTGGAGCCCCGGTCACTATGATCATAATATCTAGACTACAGAGTACTCAATAGTGTTGCCGGCATTAATATGTGCAATACTACGAATGTCTAGACTATGATACGTTTGTATCTGAGATCAAGCTGGCCCATTGAAAGTTAGGATATCAATTATCGAAGTTGATTCTCTTCGTCTACAATACACCAGCAAGCAGAACCCAAGCAACCTCATCATCGAATGTAGTGTTTTAAGTCTAAAGTACTTCATAGTATGCGGTCGAATACCGAACAGTAGGTTCCTACGTCTTCAAATGGAAGTTCGCGAGAAGAAACAAGACTAAGAGGCCTTGGTTTGTCTTGGCAACTCCTTGGCTTCATTTCCCCTTGTAGCTGTCTCAGCTTTCCAACCAGTACCGGCAAGACCCAAGCTCTTCGCTCACCACCCAAGAATTCGTTACGTATTGTTTAATTCAGCCAATCGCTGTGAAGCTGCTTTTGCCAAGTTGCACTAAACCACCATTCGGTACTTCTATGCTCTAGTTCGAGTAGTGCAGTGTAGTGTACCATACTCTCGACTTGAAGCTATGCGTAAAGACAGTCAGCCTTATCCACAAGCGTGCTATTTTGGGAGGATTGTCGCGACTACTCACAACCCTGGGATAACGCCTGCGAACGCGATGCAGCACGAACCAGGCATCCAAGTCTGGAGTTGCTTAGGCCCATGTCCATGGCCCATGTCTACGTTGCTATGCTAAAATGCTGGAAGCGAAGGAGCTGAGGCTCGAGGCGAAATAATTATATAAGTCAGTGCGACCACCCAGGTGGTATCGTACTCTCTCACTCTCCACCTCTCTCATCACGTTCATTCATTCATTCCACTAGTTATTTACTTCTCTTAACTTGTTTCAAAATGAAGTTCTCTGCTGGTGTCCTCGCCCTCGCCGGCGCTGCCATTGCCGCCCCTTCGCAGGAGAAGTGCGCTCGGGATCTCCCTACCACCAAGATCGCCGGTGTCGAGGTTGTCAACACCAAGATCGTCCAGGACGCCCACGAGCTGGTTAAGGCTTTCATCCCTCTCCAGCCCTACCTCTACAACCACGTTGTCCGAACATGGTTGCTCGGTGCTGCTGCCCTGAACAACAACGCCACCCTTAAGGCCGAGGTCGATCTTGAGGTCCACGCTGTTGGCTCTCTCCTCCACGATCTTGGTTGGGACCGTAAGTTATTACTCGATTTTTTCCACGTGTATGGAAACGTAATTCTAATTTACGGAATATAGAGCGTGACAACACCCCTTACAACACCCACGCCTACCGATTCGAGGTCGAGAGCGGTGCTGCCGCCAT